CCGGTACAATTGTACCAGCGCCCCTTCCCCTCTCATCAGGCCTGTCTGGGGCCCCACCTATATGCCCTTGAGTCCGATGTCCCAAACTCACTTATGAACACTAACGATGGAGTATTGTACTCATAGAATTCCACTTGGGAAGCAGGAGTGGGGGAAAGTGGTCGTCTTCGAGAGTGAATGGTAAAGGGGAGCCTCCACTTCTTTCTTTTCTCTCTCTTAGAGCAATAAACACCACATTTAAAATCTCAATTGGGCGGTGCGAGGGCAGTGAGGGGGCTGCTGCCTCCACTTTGTCCTTACTCTGCATGTGTGGTTCCATGATCCCATTGGCAATAGGCATTTTTGATTGCTGGATTATGCCAGGGGTTCTCATATTCATTTCTACTGGCACATCTGAGCTGTGCCAATGCAGGGCCCTCATCGTTACGGTGGTTTTCCACTGGCTATTTGCCAAGCTGAGCCAGAACCAAATTGTGAAACTTAGGCCTCACAAATACGAGGTCAAGCAGAATCATAAGTTTACTTCCCAAGCAGAGCCAGGGGAGCACGGTCGGTCATTTTCATTATGCACGCGCCTCGACCCAGTCGTTGCACGTGACATCAGCGGCATGGCTTGGAGTCTTGCAGTGAAACAAACAACCTAAGGTATAAATCCGCTCTTGGTCTCTTCATCACCATGGCCAGCAGTGAGTGAGGAACCGTCAAAGGGCTCTGTGGGCTCCCATGCAAGTTTGGTCTTGCACACCTGACGCGGCGTATAATCATTCTCTGAAATATACTCAGACGCATTTTTACCTAACCGAAGCCTTTTTTTTGCCCTCTGGTCTGTCTGCGGAGTAGGGTTTAAAACGGCCACCCATGCAGGTATCTGCAGAGACATGTTTATGGTGGTAAAAATGCGACGACGTCACTCGTGCATGCCCAGCCGCCTAGTAGTGTTATAGGGTGCTGACAGTAAACTACTGTACTCTACCCATAATGTGTACTGTAGTCACAGCATGTAAAAAGATACAGTCAGCGTCAGCAAATGTAAAAAAAATATATATATACGGATAAACTTATTCATTTGATCAATGAAAATGTACTTTGTGTAAAATCTGGAAAATGCACGTGAAATGTAATCCATCCCGAAACTCTATTAATCTATCCCTTACCATAGGTGGGGGTAGCTTAAGTAACGTAGAGACACAAAAAAAGACAAAGATCCCCTTCATAGCCTTCACGGACTGTTGGGGGAAGTGCTGTTAGCGAGGGGGTGGCTGGGTGGCCACACACACACACCACATGTAAACACACACACACACACACCACATGTAAACACACACACACACACCACATGTAAACACACACACACACACCACATGTAAACACACACACATCACATGTAAACACACACACACACCACATGTAAACACACACACACACACCACATGTAAACACACACACACACCACATGTAAACACACACACACCACATGTAAACACACACACACATGTAAACACACACACACACACCAACACCACATGTAAAGACACACACACACACACATGTAAACACACACACACACATGTAAACACACACACACATGTAAACACCACACACACACAACCAACACCACATGTAAAGACACACACACACACACATGTAAACACACACACACACATGTAAACACACACACACACACCAACACCACATGTAAACACACACACATCACATGTAAACACCAACACCACATGTAAACACACACACATGTAAACACACACACACTACATGTAAACACACACCAACACCACATGTCAACACACAACACACATGTAAACACACACACAAACACCACATGTAAACACACACACACACATGTAAACACACACACCACATGTCAACACACACACCAACACCACTTGTAAACACACACACACACCACATGTAAACACACACACACACACATGTAAACACACACCAACACCACATGTAAACACACACACCACATGTAAACACACACACACACACTACATGTAAACACACACCAACACCACATGTAAACACACACACACCACATGTAAACACACACCAACACCACATGTCAACACACACACACACCACATGTAAACACACACACACACCACATGTAAACACACACACACACACCACATGTAAACACACACACACACCAACACAACATGTAAACACACACACACATGTAAACACACCAACACCACATGTAAACACACACACACACATGTAAACACACACACACACACCACATGTAAACACATACACCAACACCACATGCCAACACACACACAAACAATAGCAACTGCCAATAAATGGCGATAATATCACAATAGCCTTTGTGCCAGCTTCGGTGCGTGGGCCAGAACCCAGTTATTACGGGTGAACAGAAGTGATTGGCATATGAACCACCTGCCTTCCCCTCTGACCCAATATGTGATGACTTTTGAATATCATTCTCAGGACCATTTCCAGCATGTTGAGGATGGAAATGTTCTGAAGTAATTGTTACAATCAATATGGTCCCCCTTGTTATAAAGGCAAGCCATTATCGCATCTTTCCAATCCCGTGGAACTCGTCACGTGGTTAAAGAAATTGTAATGTTGCTTTGAAAATCAGCTTGTACACGATCACCACCCAGTTTATTGGGTAGGTCATCCCTCTCTGATGCTCTACCCGGTCCTAATGCTCAGCATCGCTCTTTGTTACCCATCAACAAAGGGCACCTCAGCCAGTGACTCAGAAGACCCACAACCTCTTCATCAGCCTCACATCCCCCCTTATCCCACGGATGCCGTTTGGACTGAGAGGGGCTCTTCCTTTCTCGAGACCCCACACAGAATGCTCAAATTTTGCAGACATAATCCTGGGGAGTTCCCATAAGGATGTCAATGAGGGTGGGACTGCAAGGGACGGTTTTGATGGCATGAAATAGAGCTTAATGATTGCGGGCCACTGAGGCAATTTCCATCATCTCAGCAACCTGCGGCCACCACTTAACTGAATGGATCTCTGAAAAAAAAGGTTTAATTAAGCCTCCTCAGTCTCAGATGAATGGAATTCAAAACGATGACGCTTGGAAAGATGAACGGAGTTCAAACGGACTCACAAACAAACACCTTGTGAAAAACCCAATTGCAGAAGAGCCCTGGTTTTGATCTTCGACGAAGCTCACGGTCCACCATAGATCGCATCCACTGCACAAACCATGGCAGATGCAGATACCTGATGCACAAATGTAACAGACCGTACAACATAAAACGACACAACGCCCGATCCACAAATACGAAGGAGACATCACAGCGATGCACTCCGCTGTTCCTGACACGATTATCTGGCTTGACCACCTGAATGTGAAATTGTATTTGTTGCTCTGCATCTACATCAGCCATACGACAAGAAAAGAAGAACAGGAAGATTCCCAGGTGAAAACAATGAGAGTGGACAATTTACTTTCTTGCATGCAACCGTTGATGCTGTGTGGATTTACGAGTGATGGAAAGCATGTTTGTAATTACCAGCCCATGATGCTGCAGGCAAATTTTGCAACTTCTTCTGTGGGGGCGAAGACAACCACCACCAACCATTCTTCGCCACCTGTTGATAAGCAGGCGAACCCACAGCAGCCTTTGACTCAAAGTCTCCCACAGTCTCCCACACCTCCCGCTATGTTCCCAGACCCACTTCATTATTTTATTCAAACACACACGTACACTGACAACAACAAACACACCATGTGACATCACTTTGAATTTCTTCTTCATTTAAAAAAAATATATATTCCCAACTGTCAACGAACAAAAATGAAAGAAACGGGAAGAATGTTTAGAAATGTATAACACCCCGTAAGATTAGCGTGGGGAAAAATGTTCGGTCATAATTTCTTGAGCTGTGTCAAAGGGCATATGTTGTACATACCATATGTCTCTTGGTCCTTCCAGTTAGAATGAGCTCTTATATGACTCCTTATGACAATAATTACTCAAGTGCTGTGGTTTAATGACACTCTCGGACAAGAATATTACATTTCTAATGGTGTAGATTTTAAAACAAATATTTTAAGGTAATTTTTTTTCCCATTGAAATCACCATTAGGGCACAAAGTCAATCAAAAGTCAACATGCTGTCTAAATAAATTTCTCTTTGGTGATTTATGTCTATGTCACGACCAAGATGTTCTCATTTATACCATGGTATTGCTTTTGATTTGTGTTCAAGCCTCAAGTTGACCTTTGGGTTGGTATGTGGAAATGTGGATTTAAGAACACACCCAGTAATGGTGTTCATAAACTTCCATGCTAAGGATGTTGTGTTGTGATAGGGTTAATGTTTAACCATTTGAACAAAATGTAAGAAAGTTTAAGCACCACACGGTAATGTTAGTCTGTATTTACGAAATAATATGTGAACAATGTTGTTGTCGCTTTAAAGGTTAATTATTTACATTGTGGTTCTTCTTCTGAGCGACTAAAATACCATTTGCTTTTGTAACTTCACAACATTTTCAATTCTCCCTGTGAACTAAATCTCTACACGCGACCATTTCAAGTCAAGCCATATTGAAACTCGCATTATAAAGTTAATGCTTACCTTGCCATTGAATATTAAGAATGCTGTTCATAAACACCACTGTGAAACTTATTTCTTTGCGCATTCTCAAATATATGCGAATGTCAAATCAAAAGAAAGACCACACAAAGGAAAGATCAGAAAAAGGGACACAACCCTCGGGTGTTCGCCCGAAACAATGTCGCCTGTATTCTGATTACAAGTATAAAAAAAAACCTTGGGGTTATACCCTCGTGCGAACACTCACACGGGCCTCCCTTAAGCAAGAGCTGTGCAGCCTTCGCTCACGCACCGTCTCAGCTTGGGCATCGCACCTCCGACTAGCACACCTGTTGGCTACGCACGGCGCGAAAGAAGTTCAAGATATCGTACACGCACACGTCTGTATCCCGCGCGTTCTTCTTTTCCATGTCCCCAGGAACAAATTTGTGCTCATCAGGAGGTGCAAGCACGTGTGCCGAGTGCCTCCTCCTCGGTCCCTTGTGTGGCTGGTGCAGCCAAGAGGTATGGAGTGTACTTTAGCCTTTGCAATTCCATGGAAACGTCGACCGGGCGGCAGAAGCACGCTCGCTTCGGCTTGCATTGTGGCGTGGCCAAGGCTTTTTTTTTTGTTCATTCAAATCCGACGGATTTAACCGCGCTTCAAAAAGTCGCCGCGGAGTTTGAATCCCTGCCCATTAGGCAGCGCTCTGTTCACTGTACTGAGAGCCACGAGTTGGATTTAGTTACGTGTGTGTAACAAACAGAAAACAGCCAATCAATGCGCATTCATTTTAACACCAGTCTAATTGGGACTTGTGATACGTTACCGCGTGGTGATTTTATATTTAGACATATCCGAGTACAATAAGTACAAAAAACCTCTGATCTACAATGGTGTGGGGGGCACCGCATATATTCGTGGGTCCTATTATCTGTGCATATCCACCAAAATAACTCATTACCCACACAGCTGGATACGGCCATGGTGTAATAGTTAACGACCACGCTGGATCTGCAGTCCGGAGGTCACCTATTCGATTCAATCTACCGGTGTGGCAGTTTAAAAAACGATCATGTTTCTCTAGTCAGCCCACCTCTGTCCACGCAGAAGTGTGTAATGGGTACAACCGCAGTTAATAAGTCGCCAGATCGCATGTGGTGTGGAAAGCGCGCTTGTGCCCACCTCTTCATAGCGGTCTAACCAGCGTCGTGGAACAGGCCAAATACCCTGTAGAGGGGTTCTCTATAGCGCCTTCTTGTGGAGGCCTTTCCACTAGCAGTGGTGTGAGAGAGTAGTCGTAGGGCTGCACCTTTAACCCGCAGATGAACGCATAATAATCAGATGAATTTGACGAGAGGAATCTTTGCGCAATAAAACTAAACTTAGCTTTTTATTTTGAGCAAGTAAGGCCCACTGAGCTATATAGCTGTTTTTCAGAAGCGACCTGGCCACAAATAATAGCTCAACGAAGTGGCTTATCACGTGGAAAATTTCTCGCAGCCAAATACTCTAAACACATGTTTCTGAACATGGAGGGAAAAATCGGAGGACCCTTAAATAAATCCACGTGGCTACGGGGAGCAAATGCAAACTTTAAATATATAGGGGTCAGGGTCGCGATTGAACCCACGACCTCCTGTATAGCATGCAAGGTAGTTAATATCTTGCTACCGTGGCAGCTATGTTAGTAATAATTAGAGCCCATGGATAATGAATCGGGTCATGGATAAGAGGCGTTTCACTCTGTTTGGGTGCACGGTCATTCTGTCGTTTTGAGGTGCCTTATTTCTCTTTGCAGAACTTTTCTGAGGGAGAGCATCATGACAAGCGCTGTGACCTAGTCTCTAACCTCTTGGAGAAGGGCTGTAGCAAAAAGTATATTGAGTTCCCAATGAACCAGCTGGATATCATTAAAAACCATCCCATCAGTGGAAAGGTCGATGGCAGCTCATCTTCCATTATTCAGATGTCTCCGCAGAAGATATCCCTACGTCTGCGGCCGGGTGAGTGTCACCATTATATGCGAGTGAGCCTCTCTCTCTCTCTCTATTGGTCTGCCTTTAATTAATGCTAAGTATTGCCAGGTTGTTTTACTGCTTGTATCAACTCATTGTGTATTCGTTCATGCTGGAAATTAGATTATATAAGTGGTGTTTACTTTATTTGTTAAAATAGAAATAAATACCTTTCCTATGATATGGCAATTAACAGGCTAACTACTTGCTTGATTATTTTATCTACATTAAGTTGGAAAACTTTCTTGTTGTTTGGTATTAATATATAAAAATGAAGTTAACCCTTTCCCGTTTCGATGACGTACGGGTACGTCATAAAAACGAAACCGTAATAAAAACTAAAATAAAATATTGTTATCAGTACCGAGGCTCCCACAAGGCCATGCGGGAGGAAGTGTGGCACAGTTTGGCGCCAGCTATCATAGAGTGCGGTTGTTTCGCTACATTTTTCTGCGGTGAGTAACAATGTCTTTAAAAACAATGGCGCTGCGCCTCTATAAATAAAATTAACGCTGAGTCGCTTGCACGTTCCGAGATTCAGAGGTGAATGGGACCCCACCCTGCAACTTTGAGACGTCGCGGAACGGGAAAGGGTTAACTGCACTTTCAATGTGTGTGGTACATTAAGGTACTGACGTGTATATTACCTTGTTAAGATGGTCACATGAACAGGTATGCCTGTTTAAGGCCACCTGCCTAGAGTGGGCCCCTAGACAATGAATACCTTATGGAAGTTGATTCATCCGAAAAATGTTGTCGGGACACAACAATAACATGCAAAACATTTGCTCAGGACCCTTCCGGAATATAACTGCTACTTCGCAGAATCGCTGTGGCGCGCTGCCCATGCACTCTACCCGTGTACTCTACCCGTGTACTCTACCCGTGTACTCTACCCGTGCACTCTACCCGTGTACTCTACCCGTGTACTCTACCCATGCACTCTGCCCGTGTACTCTACCCGTGTACTCTACCCGTGTACTCTACCCGTGTACTCTACCCGTGTACTCTACCTGTGCACTCTGCCCGTGCACTCTACCCGTGTACTCTGCCCATGCACTCTGCCCGTGTACTCTACCCATGTACTCTGCCCGTGTACTCTACCCGTGTACTCTACCCGTGTACTCTGCCCGTGTACTCTACCCGTGTACTCTGCCCGTGTACTCTCTGCCCGTGAACTCTGCCCGTGCACTCTACCCATGTGCTCTACCCGTGTACTCTACCCGTGTACTCTACCCGTGTACTCTACCCATGTACTCTACCCGTGTACTCTGCCCATGCACTCTGCCCGTGTACTCTACCCGTGTACTCTACCCGTGAACTCTGCCCGTGTACTCTACCCGTGTACTCTGCCCGTGTACTCTACCCATGTACTCTGCCCGTGTACTCTCTGCCCGTGAACTCTGCCCGTGTACTCTACCCGTGTACTCTACCCGTGTACTCTACCCGTGTACTCTGCCCGTGTACTCTCTGCCCGTGAACTCTGCCCGTGTACTCTACCCATGTACTCTACCCGTGTACTCTGCCCATGCACTCTGCCCGTGTACTCTACCCGTGTACTCTACCCGTGAACTCTGCCCTCGTGACCAAGCTGCGCGGTTCTCGTGACCAAACGCCCCCGGGGAGATCGGGGAGCCATGCGGAACCCCCGTTTGAGTTTGCCCCGCTCGTTTCCGGCTGCGCGCTTGCAGGCAGCAGGGAGACCTTCCAGGTGGAGGTGGAGCAGCTGGAGGGCTACCCCGTGGACCTCTACTACCTCATGGACCTGTCGGCCTCCATGTTCGACGACCTGCAGAACATCAAGAGCCTGGGCACCACGCTCGCCACCAAGATGGGGCAGCTTTCGCGCAACTTCCGCATCGGCTTTGGCACCTTCGTGGACAAGCCTCTGTCTCCCTACATCAAGACGCTGCCCATATACCAGGCCAACCCTTGCACGTAAGCCCACGTCTTTGTCCCCTCCCCCCCCCCCCCCCCCCCCCCCCATCTGATAGGAGGATTGTTCTGTTGTTCGATGGTGCTTGGATTGGTGACCACCGAACTTACCGGGTGTGCAGGCTGTGAGGTGGTCAAAATATGGCAATGTTGAGTGTCACTCCCTCCTCCCCGCAGTGTTTCTCCCATTACTGCAGTTTCCTCCCACAAAGCCAATCATTCGTTCATGGTATTGGCCCAACATCACGATGCGGGATCCTTTTGAAAATGTCTCAAGGCTCAGTGAGGCCTTTCGGGTAAACAATTGTCATTTTCGTTGTGTCATTGGCAAGTGATGAGGGTTACGTCTGCCAAGCAAATTTTCCCTTTTCTTTTCAACACAGCAACCATTAATAATACCGTGCAATATAAATCCCTGCACGTAGCCAAAGCGAAGCCTTTACATATCAACAGCACGCGTAAAAAGAATGCTCGTGCGGTTCAAGGCAAACTGATCGAATTTTAATAGTCAATAGGCAGGACGCATACCGGTCTCGGTCGCGAGTAATCGTACACAAGGGCGAGCACTCCACCGCGTGTCTGCAAGCGCCACCCTTCAGGACGTAGCACGCAGCAGTTCCAATGGAGCGTCGCTCCTCTTTCAGTTCCACCGGAGCGCCCTTTCTCCTAGAAGATGCTCGACCCCCCCCCCCACGCGCCCCCCCCCAATGCCTCCACATTGGTTGAAGGCAATCCGCTTGCCTTTGGACAGCGGAAGGAGTGATCTCTGGTGCTCGCGGGTCGGTACGTCCTCTCCCTGCACCCACGGTGCGGCACCGCTGCGGGACGACGACGAGCGACCAGCGTAGCGGCTCACCCCCCCCCTCCCCCACCCCTTGCACCCCCCCCTGAACCCCCCACCCCTTGAACCCCCCCACCGCCCCTTGCACCGCACCCCCCCCCCCCCCGCGCCCGCGCACATCTGGCGGCGAGTGACGGTGAGGTGCGATCTGCCCGCAGCGGCTACATCGATTGCCTGCCAGTGTTCGGCTTCAACCACGTGCTTCCCCTCACCGGCGAGGCCACGGAGTTCAACGCCAAAGTGAAGGAGCAGCTCGTCTCCGGGAACATCGACTCTCCGGAGGGGGGCTTTGACGCCATCTTGCAGGTGGCCGTGTGCAAGGTACAAGGCTCGGGTCCGTCTCGTATAAGGGCGGCGGAAAAATACAAAAATAAATAATAATAATAAGTCGAGAGTTGCATTCCCCTCCGGCTCCGGTGGACACCCCCCCCCCCCCGCCCACCCCTCCCCGAAGCCGTCGGCGAAAATTTCGGTCTGCGCGCTCCCGATGTGTTTCCGGGGACGCTACCGAACATCGTTCGGCATTGTCACCCAAAGTTGTGGCGTGCGCTGAGCTTCTTTCGCACCGAACCTAGCCAGCCGTGCTAATCGGTCGTGCTGGGAGCCCCTGTGGGGAATTATGTCAGTTCCCGAAACGTTGGACATCATGCCGTACGACACGCCGTGCGACCTGAAAACACATCCGACAGCTGCACTGCACAACCGCGAAATCCTACGCGGTAAAATGTCACATTCCTGTAGTGAGGGTCAGCCTGTACCTTGGACACCTGCTGTTGGCTTCCATCAAATAGGTGCTCATTCTATAGACCTCCAAAACCTGTATTTGCACTTCCAATTGCAAGTCGCATACTCCAGTCGCGATGCCACCCAGCTGGTCAGGATTATGTTCATTTGATGGTAAGATAAGGCATAAGGTAACACTGATGATGAATGCGTAACATTGACTGTGAAGTGGAAAAGGCCACATATGGCGCTGCAACGTGATCACCTGAGTCGAGGGCGAGCATGCCTCCCTACACGTTTTGCATTGAACACCTGGTACCAATGTCAGCAGTAGAGACATAACATGATCCGACTTCATACTGCATTTAACCATGTGGTATTAAAAAAAATACGGTCCTTTGTTAAGTTAATCCACTGCACTGCAAGATGAAGGCCTCCCTGTGCCATATGAGTCTTTGGAGGGTTGTTTAACCATACTTCACCATGCTGGTCAATGTGGGATGGTGGAGGCGAGAGGCCGGGCGGAAGACACAGGTCTGGTTCAGATACCTACCGTTGGAAATTCGTTTAACCGGTAATGTGGATACGTCTAAGTCGCATCTAAAAACACATTTTCTTAAATCCGTTTATACTATTTAGCCCTCCATCTCTCTTGCCCTTTCATTAATCTTAATCTTACAAGACTCCTTCAGACATTAGTGGAATGCGCCTTACAAATAAATGTAAATTATTGTTACCATTTGCACTAATGTTAGCCGTGGTTGTGAATTGAACTCGACTCACTGGTTGCATAGCCCAGTGAGCTGATCACCGTGCCCCCGATCCGCTCACGTGTTATTCGAACAAACTATAAACAAATCTCCAAATCATCTTGGCTAAAGTTTTTTTGGAGCTTCAATTTGTAATGCTACATTAATTATTTTTCAGTTGCAATTTTTATGTTTTGGGATACATTTTAATTCGTGTTTTCCTTTTTTATCAAACCTTTGTGATAGAGGAGGTGCTTGCCATTGACCAGTAAAGGTGTCTCCTTGCGGTAAACTTGTGCAATCACAAAGTTCCCCAAATAAGAACACTTCACAAGAGCGAGGCGATTGTCCTTAATCAGTGATGCATGCACGTTAGTCACAAGGTTGGCAAAAAAAAGTTGTTATTTTTTTTCAAGACCGGTCGAACCAACTTCTGTAGATGGAATCGGGCAGGTGCTGACTTTCCCAGGAGATAGAGAATTTAAAAACCGTCGCCATCACCTGCATCTACTCAGCGTGGATAAAATGGAGCATGCAAAAAGAGATTTATCATGGTGAAACTGTGACCCTTTTACCCCCTGAGATTAAAAGTAAGCCTTTATTTTGTTGCATTCCTCGTGGTCACTTGGGCTTTATCAAAAGCCAGGCTTGCAACAACAACAAAAAAGGGGGCCAGATTTGTACATTGAAGTGACTGCCCCCTTAAAAAAGGCAGAGTAAAGAGTACATTTTTTTTTCCCAGGTAAGGCCCACTGGCTTATCACGTGGAAATGTATAGTGGCACAATACTCTAAACGTGTGCTGATCCTAAATGTAGAGGGAAAAACCGGAGGACCCCGAGAAAAATCCACGTGACTGCGGGGAGAGAGACACGTAAACTCCAAATATACAGCAGGCGTCAGGATTGGGATCGAACCCACGACCTCCTGCATACCAGGCGGGGTAGTTAACATCTCGCCATCATGGTGTAGGCGAGCTTTTGGCACAATGTAAAACTGGTGGCATTTGCCATTGAGAATTTTGTGTGGATTAATTGTTTTGAGGGAGTGGGCTTGGTCCTTCGGCTCTTGAATGTCACCGCGCGTTCCTGCGAAATGTGAACACACACGGAGCTTCGTTGTAATGCGGAGCAACTTAATCAATCCCATTGTAATCCGCTTGAGCATTGATGGATGAGTCAAGGGAAAGCAAGTATAACATTGCGCGAAAAATACTTGTGCCTCACTTAGCTGTGGGTTTCAGCCACATGGGTGTAATTGTGGGGCATTTCAATTGGTTTCCATAATATGTTTCTGTTAGGGCTCTTTAACAAATGTATTTATCAATGTGCCTATGTGAGTCATGGCATTGTATTTATGTTTACACTTTTTCTCGTACCAATATACGTGCCGCGTAGGTCACAACGCACGATAACAACTGTAGATAGCTCCCCGATGTGTTTTTTGAGTTCTCCTTACCGCATGTTGCTCAGCACGATGTCCAACGTTTCCCTCGTGGTGCTGGGAGCCCCTTCAGAAACTCCCAGCACCTGAATTCAGTTCCTGAAGGAGCTCCCAGCATGGAGAGTGAAATCGTGCTTAGCAACACAATGTACGCAGCACAACCGATCAAACCTACCATGCAGTGGTACAACAACGTGTTGATGATGGCTTGGGTCACATTTAAGCCCGACACCCTTGATCAGCATCGCACATTGTAATAGACTTTGGGGTACAAGGGCAGTACCCTAACCTCACGAGGAATGTGAAAGTGTGAGTATGGGCGTGTGCACGTTCAGATATGCACTGTATGTGCATGCGTGCGTGCATGCATGCATTTTGTGTGAATACATAACACTACACCGTCATCAACTTTAATTTGAAGCAGGTGAGACATCATCAGGTCCTCCTTTTTTGCAAGGGAAACCCGGGGGAAATGCACGAATTGAAACGTGTTGAAGATTCTGTGCGCTGCCATTCTGGCGTGTGGAAGCAGGTATTCTCCTGGGCTGGTTATGCAGGCACACGTGCTCAAAGTGTGAGTTCAGCTGATGTTTGTGCGTTCACTTGGGTGCCTCCATATGGGGCTTTAACAAACAAACCGGAAAATAAATAAACGTCCAACACAGGTGCATGCGGAGAATGATAGGAATTTCGTGGAAGGATAGGGCAAGCAACTTGGGTGTTAATAGTAGCATGTGGCAAGAAATAGCTGCAGATGTAATTAGGAAAAAATAGGTTGCGATGGGTGAGACACGTGTCTATGGTCACGGAGTGGGAGACAAGCACCCAGAGAGAGGTTTAGTGACCAAGGGGAAACCAAAATCTGGATGGTTGAATACTCTTAGAGCAGACCTTGCAGATTGTGTGTTAACAACAACTGTGGGATATAGATGAAGGAAGCGATGATGAAGCAATGATTAATTTCTCACTCACCCCTTCTGGATACCTGTGAAAAATATCTTTATAGCTCATCGGATTTCTCCAGGATAAATACAGATTCTGATTCTGAATTGTGGAGAAATAAGCTGCATTTGGCCATGTTAACCTATTGACCACGATGTGTTTCCGGCTCGTACCGCGTGCTGCTCGGCACGTTCTTACGTTTCTCCTCTCCCCGCGTGCTGGGAGCTTCTTCGGGAATCGAACGCGTGCCGAGCAATTTGTCGTGCCGGGGAACAACGCGCCTGCGTCACGACCCGAAAACGCGTCGGCCTCACCCGTGACGCCTGTCCCCTCTCCACCCAGGACAAGATCGGCTGGAGGAGCGAGGCCATGCACCTGCTGGTGTTTGTGTCGGACGCCGACTCGCACATCGCCCTGGACGGGCGCCTCGCCGGCGTAGCCGTCCCCAACGACGGACTGTGCCACCTCGATGAGAAAAACGCGTACACGCACTCCACTGACATGGTGAGCGAATGGCACGAAAGAGTGGCGCCGCGGTGGCTAGGAGATGTTAACTACCTCGCCGAGTATGCAGGAGGACGTGCGTTCGATCCCGACCCTGACCCCTGTATATTTGGAGTTTTCGTGTCTATCGCTCCCCATGGCCGCGTGGCCTTTCCTCCGAGTCCTCTGGGTGTTTTTCCCCCCACCACATTTGGAGACGACACACGTTTAGACTATTTGGCTGCAGTAAACTCCCGAATGATTAGCCACTTCGTCGAGCCGTCCTTTGCGTGGCCAGGTCACTTGTGAAAAAATAGCTGTGTAGCTTCGGGGGCCTTACCTGGTGAAATAAAAATTGTGTAGTTTAGAAGGCACGTCATGCCCCCCCCCCCCCCCACCATCCCCGCCAGCCTGCCATCGGCGTGTTCCGTCTTGTTAAACGGACACCACCCTCGCCGCATTCGTGGGAATGCATTTTATCACCGAGACGATGTCTGTGAGATTCACCACCGCGTGCCGTCAAAGCAGCTCCGTGATAACCCTAGAAAGTGGAAAGGAACAAAAATAAAACAATCCGTCAGGGAGGAGGTCTTTTATCCGATTCGCACGGGCACGTGTTGAAAGAGCTCAGGGCTGTGATACAGGATGTGTGCTGTTAGACATAGTGAGTCGCGTTGTTGCACGTAATGTGGCCTGCTGGCCAAAAAATGCAGTGACGTTTCAATGAAAGTTTCTGTTTCACAATTAGCATTATGCTGAATACCCCTCGTTAATTATACAGGTAAAGTTGTACACTAATATATATATGTGTTGTAACAACGGACAAGTGACATCATTTTACACAACCTCAGATTTGATTTTGATCCCCCAGCAGATTTTATTTTGTATATTTTCAGCCTTATTCAACACTTCTTGCTATGCTGGTTAAGCATCAAAATCTGGTCACTTAATAAGACCCTAATTGGATACTGTAAGGTCCTTGGTCCTAAACGCCCATGGGCTTTCGACATACTCTGATCTGTTTATATGTTAATAAATGTAAATATAATTTGTTTAGGCTTTTACTGGTCAGCTTTATGAGCTTGTAAGGCAAACAGAAGTCCAGCACAAAAACATACCGTGATTGTGATCAAACAAGCAAAGTGTCTGTTGACATTCTAATTAACGGCAATAGGCTTCTGTACACTCCTTGAACAGCAACGCTTGATATATTTACTCGTCCGTGTCGACTTTATTGGCCGTATTATGGTTTGGAAAGGCAGCAGCTGAAGGCCAACCTCTGTCTGTGCACAACAAACTCTGGGCATGATATACAGAGGGGGGGGGGGGGATGCTGACTCGGTGTAATGATGAGCACACTGGACTTGCAATCCAGGTGTCCGCCAGCTTCAATTCGATCACCAATGGGAACGTTCTAAAATCCCCCCCCCACCCACCACTTCTGTCCACCAATCAGTATAAAGCAGCATACATGGGTACAGCACAGTCGATCGGTAGGTCACGTGTGGTGGAGTAAAGTGTGGGTACTCTTACTTCTTCTTCCAAGAGTATCGGACTGAATGCCCTCCAGATGGGGCTCGCTTTAGCTTATCTCAATTGGATATCCTTCTGCCGGCATTGATGCAAGCAAGCAGTTGCAGGGCTGCACCCTTTCCTTCATCATTTTACTTGACAGTGTTTAATGCTGATTAGGTAACAAAAACACACAATCATGTTTTCGCCTACCTCGCCTTATTTATTGTGTCACTACTTTGACATGGAGTAGGTGGCGGGGGGGGGGGGGGGGGAGATGTTTTAAACTCAAGCTGCTGGTGACATTATTGCCCAGGAATTGCTTATGCTGCTATCGGGAAGCTCATATCACAACGGAATGTGGTTTAGAAAGGAGGCTAAGACAAGCACTTGGGTATTTAAAGAAAACAGCCTTTGTGTAACAAGCCTGTTAATGACCGTTGATCATGGCCTCATTGCCCTGGGCTTTATTTTAACTATACTGTACTGAGTTCACAAGCATAAAAATTGCTCCACTGTGGACAATGTGTGTGTTGAAAACATGCCACCCTGCCTTCTTCCCTGTAGGTGGGGAGAAACAGCGATCTATATCTTGAATTAAAAAAAAATAACTTTCGTAAAAACAAAGATTCTGGGGTAAATGAACGGAGTGCATTGTTGCTCAGTGGATTGTTTTTGTTTAGCTCAAAGGGCACATTGACATTCACAGATGTCTCAGTATTTCCAGCTTCCCTCAAATTACATCATTGCAGAAAAAAATTGAGCAACATGAATGGATGAACAAATGCGAATTTTGCACGTAATCTTTTCTATGGTCTGTTCAAATTAATTATTATATGGTTTAGTACAATATCCATGAGGACATTATTGGCTTGTGGTCTCTTGGCCAAAGCGAAGCCGTCTTAGTTTGGCACGGTTTAAACAACTTTTACTTTGGCAAAACACCAAGGAAGGCGAATGGACATCTGATATTAGGAAAAATAAAGTGCATAACACGAATGTACAGGCCGCCAGCAGACGTGTAGTCAAATTAACTGTGTACAGTTGTTACATTAAAACAATATGGTGCGTTTGTTTACACGTCATCAATTTTCACCCGTTTGCATGTTGTTAATGTATACAGCAAGGGTCCAGCTTTAGAGGATTATCGGGGCTGCACGCACCATCCTCGCAGCGATATGTCATGAGCTTAGAGGAGTACTGCATGATTATTAGGAAGCCACTGGAGCTATGCACTTTTAAATCTGGATTGAAAACTAATTTCTTTAATTCTTTCGGTAAAGTCACGTAGGTAGACAAATTAAATAAAACAAACAATAACATTATAATAGGGTTTTTCCCCTTTTTTTCTGGCAACAAAACTGAAACCTTTTTTACGAGGATTCATGTCTGCATTAACCACAATACCTGCAGTCAAATGCAAACAAAAAACATACTATGATAATATATAGCAAAAAAAAAAAGGTTTCAGTTTTGTTGCTAGAAAAAAAGGGGGAAAACCCTATTATTAAATTTTGGTACTGGCAAAGGAGGTCTAATGATGAAACAATAACGTATCACCACGTTTCGATCGCAACACAAGCGGAAAAAATAATCCAGCAGTGGACCTGCTGAACCTTTTGGTTTTATTTTATTTTTATACCTACGTGACTTTACCGAAAGAACCAAAGAGTATGGATTCCTGCAGTCACGAAAGCTTCAAATCGTGATACATTTCTTTAAAACTGCTTTTTGTGTTTAGTTTGTTGTCCGTCACCCCTCACATTCCGATTAGTACGTTCGGCTACGTACGGCATGAAAGAAGTTCCACATACATACGTGATACAAAGAGGGGCATATGCTTTAAACAATATGGAACGAAACAATGTGTTCAATGCCACGTCTGTATGCACACCAGCCATCTGGCTCACACTGACCACTGTATTGAAGTATGGAAAATGTTGATATTTCTCTCATGCCTTTATGGAGATCGCACTTCTATAAATAATTATAAGACAGTGTTGTTTTGTATACCTGCAACCCTTGCTATACAGTACAAGTCCCTTACACTGAGCTCAGCAAATATATTGTAATCTATGAGTTCATTATTGTACATGTGTAAAATCGAATTACCGTACAAAACAGCATTGGGCTACAATGATGAAAAATGCTACAAATAAAATTCCGGGTTGACTCCAATTCAATCTGGTGTAAAAACTTGGTAAAGATTAAGGTCTCTGTCACACCAATGCTGGCAGAGGGGCTCTAGAGTGACCCTCATTCGTATTTTGACCTAATTTTGCCACTGTCTAGATGTCTTGGGAAGATGTGGGAGTACATGCACTTTACCCCACCACGTGTGTGTGTTGTATGTTGCAATTCTTTTGCACTGTACGTGGCCAACCGTGTTAATCGGAGGTGCGCCTCACCACACCGCACGGAACCCGGCGTTTCGCTAACTTTGTTCTACCCATTTGTGCAGTGAGGGAAAAAAAGTATTTGATCCCCTGCTGATTTTGTACGTTTGCCCGCTGACAAAGAAATTGTCAGTCTATAATTCTAATGGTAGGTTTATTTGAAAAGTGAAAGACAGAATAACAACAAAATCCAGAAAAACGCATGTCAAAAATGTTATATATTGATTCGCATTTTAATGAGGGAATAAGTATTTGACCCCTCTGCAAAACATGACTCAGTACTTGGTGGCAAAACCCTTGTTGGCAATCACAGAGGTCAGATGTTGCTTGTAGTTGGCCACCAGGTTTGCACACATCTCAGGAGGTATTTTGTCTCACTTCTCCAAGTCATTAAGGTTCGAGGCTGACGTTGGCAACTCGAACCTTCAGCTCCCTCCACAGATTTTCTATGGGATTAAGGTCTGGAGGCTGGCTAGGCCACTCCAGGACCTTAATGTGCTTCTTCTTGAGCCGCTCCTTTGTTGCCTTGGCCGTGTGTTTCGGGTCATTGTCATGCTGGAGTACCCATCCACGACCCATTTTCAATGCCCTGGCTGAGGGAAGGTGGTTCCTCACCCAAGATTTGACGGTACATAGCCCCGTCCATCGTCCATTTGATGCGGGGAAGTTGTCCTGTCCCCTTAGCAGAAAAACACCCCCAAAGCATAATGTGTCCACCTCCATGTTTGACGGTGGGGATGGTGTTCTTGGGGTCATAGGCAGCATTCCTCCTCCTCCAAACAGGGCGAGTTGAGTTGATGCCAAAGAGCTCCATTTTGGTCTCATCTGACCACAACACTTTTCACCCAGTTGTCCTCTGAATCATTCAGATGTTCATTGGCAAACTTCAGACGGGCATGTATATGTGCTTTCTTGAGCAGGGGGACCTTGCGGGCGCTGCAGGATTTTCAGTCCTTCACGGCGTAGTGTGTTACCAATTGTTCTTCTTGGTGACTATGGTCCCAGCTGCCTTGAGATCATTGACAAGATCCCCCCATGTAGTTCTGGGGCTGATTCCTCACCGTTCTCATGATCATTGCAACTCCACGAGGTGAGATCTTGCATAGAGCCCCAGGCCGAGGGAGATTGACAGTTCTTTTGTGTTTCTTCCATTTGCGAATAATCGCACCAACTGTTGTCACCTTCTCACCCAAGCTGCTTGGCAATGGTCTTGTAGCCCATTCCAGCCCTGTGTAGGTCTACAATCTTGTCCCTGACATCCTTGGAGAGCTCTTTGGTCTTGGCCATGTGGAGAGTTTGGAATCTGATTGATTGATTCTGTGAACAGGTGTCTGTTATACAGGTAACAAGCTGAGATTAGGAGCACTCCCTTTAAGAGTGTGCTCCTAATCTCAGCTCGTTACCTGTATGAAAGACACCTGGGAGCCAGAAATCTTTCTGATTGAGAGGGGGTCAAATACTTATTTCCATCATTAAAATGCAAATCAATTTTATAACATTTTTGACATGCGTTTTTCTGGATTTTGTTGTTGTTATTCTGTCTCTCACTGTTCAAATAAACCTACCATTAAAATGATAGACTGATCATTTCTTTGTCAGTGGGCAAACGTACAAAATCAGCAGGGGATCAAATACTTTTTTCCCTCACTGTACCCTCCAAGTCTGTGATGTAGAATGATAAAAAAATAAATTGAGAGAATGTGTCTTGATTGCAATTGTCAAGCACTGTGCCTCCACCCAATGACAATGACTCTGTGGTCTGATTCACAGGACTATCCGTCTCTTGGGCAGCTCATTGAAAAGCTCACCGACAACAACATCCAGCTCATCTTTGCTGTGACCGGCAAGTGGCTGGACCAGTATGCGGTGAGTTATTGCTAAGCAGAGTCGGCATATTATTGAGCATTAACACCTGCCATACCACCCCCAGTGTTGGTTAGGACTATTTTTGTGTACGTATTAAATCACAGTTGCTGAGAAGCAGATCCAGAAGATGGCACTATTGAATAATTCATATGTAAACCGAGGTTTGTACATTCATTATTGACCCAGAAACAAGATGAAATTCTATCAGTCCATGTCTGATCGTCATGCGAATTCTCACTCACCAATTGTCACCTTTGCAACAACAAAAAAGCTTATTTGTCAGCATGGATATATTAACGTCTAGTTTATCAAGCAAATGTTTTGCGTTACTTTTATTCGTGTCAAATAAGTCTCTGTATCCGACAACACATTGCAAAACGGTCTAAGTGGAGCAGTGAGACATGCGCCCAGTTTCAGGACACTCACTGCTCGTTGTCGCGGAAGTTCGCCAATCAAATCTGGCATGCCCCCCCTGCCAATTATTGCCTTGGGTGTATTGTCCATAGCATACGCACCATATGCTTCAAAGTGGGACGTTAAAGATCCCCTGACATCATTTAAAATGAGCAGGCCGTTGCGTGCCGGGGCGTCGTGGTGCACATTTGGCAAAATTCTAAATAGTAACTCACAAATTACCAAATTGGGATGAGACAATCAACATTACCGTGAAAATTACTGCGGACTGCGTCCGTGAAACATAGCGCGTTCACGATAGCCTTGCGCGATAGGAATGGCCCGCGTGCCAAAGGTACTGATGGTTGTTATTGTTAAAAGTGGCCTCGTCCTAATGGGCACTGCCCCATGAAAGTGGGTGATTTTTTTTTTCCATGATGGCAAACCCCTCGTGCAGGTGTCTTGGCCAGGTGCGTCAACACCGCAGCAGCAGCAGCAGCTCCAGCTCGCTGCGGTTTGCATGAAGTTTAGTGCAATGTGCGGGGCCTGAATGCACACCATGTGCTTCACCTGAACGTTGAACCTGACAGGAAGTCAAGGTGCTTTTAATAAAAAAAAAAATCCATCATTTGCAGTGTTCCAGCTGCAATTTGTACACATCGTCAAAAAAAATGCGCACGCTTAATTTTACGTCGCTCCGCGTAACATCGCGATATCTGGGTGCTTTTAGAGGTTCTGCATGTCGTTTGAAATCCACCACGAACAGATGGAGAGAGAGAGAGAGAGAAACAAAAAAGCACCTACAGTGTACGACAGCTTGCGCGCGTGATATCTCGCGATCGTATTTCGCGGTCGGTGAATATTATATACCGTTGAGTTTTAAGGTAAAAAACCGTTCGAACCCAGTGGTGAGAACGATGGAAAAAGGTCAGCGTTCGTGTTGGAGTATCGCGAGCGCGGATCGCGCTTGGGTTTGCCTCCGGTGAAGGAAAACCAGCCACCACAATCCCTGCATGCGATGCTCAGATAACGGGCAGGCGTGCAAATTGTGCATTGTGCATGGCCGATTAATGCTTATGTACATACTGGCCACTTGCCTGAGGCACTGAGAGATTCTTACACTGGAAATATTGCATTTTAAATGCGGCTGCTTTGGTAAACTGCCAAATTTGAAGCTTGGTTTTTTTTTACAGAATCTCTCTATATTTTTGTGACATTTCAAATTTGATTTTTTTTTGTATGTTTTGTTTGATTTTTGAGTTACCTTGGTTTCCATTGCAATCATGTTCATCTATATTTCTAACAGTGGTATACTGTATAACATGATTTTTATCAACCACGGCTACTCCTGTTACCCTATATTTTACATGCTCTGCTCATGTTTGTGTGGCTGAACACTGCATTCTCTAGATTATAAAACGTACTTTTTCCACACGTATTTTAAAGCAAAGTTGAGGGTGCGTGTTATAATGCAGGTTTTTGTGCTTGTTGACCAAATTTTGTTTCACTTCATTGATACCGAGCACAAGATCGGAGTGCATTTTACCTTATAATTCGGAGGATACAGAGAGCATTAATTAAAGCAACATCTCTGCTAAGTTTTTTGTTTGTTTTTTATCACAATATAGTTGTGGCACAGCTGCGGTCACATAATGTATGCAACGTCGAACTTTTTTAGCACAGTACGTAGCCAACCGTGCTAATCGGAGATGCGGGGGATGGAAGGGCGACAAACGAAACACAAAAAGGTATATCCACGGGATAAAAATAGCATTGCTTATAATCCAGCGTGGCACACACACACACACGTGTGCTGCAGTAAACGCGCCGAGGAATTACAATGCAAGCAATGTGCAGGTGGGAGCAATTTTGTAATTAAATAGTATTTGCACTGTAAACGTGCCCTAACCATGCCCCATTCATGACTTATCGCACCCACAGAACTACTCCTCTCTCATCCCCGGGGCAACGTTCGGGCAGCTTAACAAAGACTCAACCAATGTCCAAGACCTCATAATTAAAGCGTACAAGGTAATGACATCGATGGTAAAGTATGCACAGGCACGCGTCCTTGGAGACGACAACTTTATTCTCTACAGTGAAATTGAATGACACGCCGGTGAGGCAAGACATTCAATGTCGTGATCTGCAACGAGGAATCGTCAGGTTCACGTGCACAAAGCGTACTTGCGACACGTACACTCCCAGTAATGCTGCATCATTCTGAAGGCCGTTGCAGAGGAGGAAACCTCACATTTTATATCACAATTGAGCCTGCACCAAACAACAAAAGCCGCCATTCACCACGGTAATGTCTCCACAGTGCTTGTGCCCAGCGAGGTGCACTTTGAGGCCATGTGAATTGTAGAAGGCTCGCTGACAGGAGGTCACGGGACAGACACAGGAGCCATGGGTTGACTGACTGAGATGACTGACCGATGCATCGCCTGTGCCGCTCGGCACTCCGCTCGTTGTTGTGAGCGTCGCTCCTCCGCCTTCCGTTGTTGTTGGAGGGCGACTGCCTCCAACTGTCCGGTAGCATCCTTTACGAGCCTCCTCATAGAGGCCGATCTCGACACCCGCTGGTACCAGTTATCAGCATGTCCACTCAGCTTCACCTCCTCCTCTACCACATCAATCCATTACTTCTGTAGCCCTTGCCATGTCCTTTTAGTCCCCTTTATTATGCCAAACAGAAGCTGCTTGGGCATGCGGTGGCTGGCAATGTAGGCTACATGACCCAACAAATGCAGCCATGCCTTCCGGATGAGCTCACCAATGGGAATATGTCCAGGTCATTCAAGGATCTGTGAGCTTCTCACACAATCCAGCCTGGTTAAACTGAGGATAGACCGTAGGCAGGCTATTCTGAATGTTTCAAACCGACGCAGAAGACCTGAAGCTTTGTATGGAGTGACAGGCCAGGTAGCTTACACGCAACATTACACAGTCGATTAAAATATAATTCTGCTCAACTCTTTTGGAATGATATCTCTGTTGCCACACTGGAACGAGTCTTAAGCACACTACCCAGGCATTGGATATTATCCACTCTCTCCACAACTGCCCCATCACTCATGGGGAGTTGAGGGCTTGGACTGTTTGATGACACACAACACCCAGACAGCTGCTTTGTTTTTGTTACCAGATCATCAGCATACAGTGAGGGAAAAAAGTATTTGATCCCGTGCTGATTTTGAACGTTTGCCCACTGACAAAGAAATATTCAGTCTATAATTTTAATAGTAGGTTTATTTGAACAGTGAGAGACAGAATAACAACAAAAAATCCAGAAAAACGCATGTCAAAAATGTTATAAATTGATTTGCATTTTAATGAGGGAAATAAGTATTTGACCCCTCTGTAAAACATGACATAGTTCTTGGTGGCAAAACCCTTGTTGGCAATCACAGAGGTCAGACGTTTCTTGTAGTTGGCCACCAGGTTTGCGCACATCTCAGGAGGTATTTTGTCCCACTCCTCTTTGCAGATCTTCTCCAAGTCATTAAGGTTTCGAGGCTGACGTTTGGCAACTCGAACCTTCAGCTCTCTCCACAGATTTTCTATGGGATTAAGGTCTGGAGACTGGCTAGGCCACTCTAGGACCTTAATGTGCTTCTTCTTGAGCCACTCCTTTGTTGCCTTGGCCGTGTGTTTTTGGTCATTGTCATGCTGGAATACCCATCCACGACCCATTTTCAATGCCCTGGCTGAGGGAAGGAGATTCTCACCCAAGATTTGACGGTCCATGGCCCCGCCCATCGTCCCTTTGATGCGGTGAAGTTGCCCTGTCCCCTTAGCAGAAAAACACCCCCAAAGCATAATGTTTCCACCTCCATGTTTGACGGTGGGGATGGTGTTCTTGGGGTCATAGGCAGCATTCCTCCTCCTCCAAACACGGCGAGTTGAGTTGTTGCCAAACAGCTCCATTTTGGTCTCATCTGACCACAACACTTTCATCCAGTTGTCCTCTGAATAATTCAGATGTTCATTGGCAAACTTAAGACGGGCATGTATATGTGCTTTCTTGAGCAGGGGGACCTTGCGGGCGCTGCAGGATTTCAGTCCTTCACGGCGTAGTGTGTTACCAGTTGTTTTCTTGGTGACTATGGTCACAGCTGCCTTGAGATCATTGACAAGATCCTCCCGTGTAGTTCTGGGCTGATTCCTCACCGTTCTCATGACCATTGCAACTCCACGAGGTGAGATTTTGCATGGAGCCCCAGGCCGAGGGAGATTGACAGTTCTTTTGTGTGTCTTCCATTTGCGAATAATCGCACCAACTGTTGTCACCTTCTCACCAAGCTGCTTGGCAATGGTCTTGTAGCCCATTCCAGCCTTGTGTAGGTCTACAATCTTGTCCCTGATATCCTTGGAGAGCTCTTTGGTCTTGGCCATAGTGGAGAGTTTGGAATCTGATTGATTGATTGCTTCTGTGGACAGGTGTCTTTTATACAGGTAACAAGCTGAGATTAGGAGCACTCCCTTTAAGAGTGTGCTCCTTATCTCAGCTCGTTACCTGTATAAAAGATACTTGGGAGCCAGAAATCTTTCTGATTGAGAGGGGGTCAAATACTTATTTCCCTCATTAAAATGCTAATAAATGTATAACATTTTTGACATGCGTTTTTCTGGATTTTTTTGTTGTTATTCTGTCTCTCGCTGTTCAAATAGACCTACCATTAAAATAATAAACTGATCATTTCTTTGTCAGTGGGCAAACGTACAAAATCAGCAGGGGATCAAATACTTTTTTTCCCTCACTGTACGTAACATAGTTGACCAATAGAGAGCCATGCCTTGCCCGTACCCAGGCATTGATCAGCCTCCCGTTGTATCTGTACCAGGTGGGAATTCTAAACGGGTACAGCCATGGAAAGCTTCTCGATCTACGTGATATAAAAAAAGAGTTAAATAATGTAGGAGCCTGTCACCGCACACACACACACACGCATCATAAGCCACGCAGCGAGAAGTGGCACCGACGCATTCGGTTACTTGCACATTTATCAATTCACGCAGCCTGAAACAAGGCCACAGGCACTTAGAGCAGGACAATAGGGTACTGTTCATGAGCAAGACCCACGGAGGGCTTCCAGTAAACAATGTTAATGGCGACATCAATTATAAAGATTTGCTTAACATTTACTTTATAGAATTTAAAGTTAGCATGTTGCAATTGAGATACAATAATTGGATGCTTAATTTGATCAAAGCAATTGTATTTACAAAAGCAAATTTAATTAGATTTTTTTAAAATTAATTAATGGACTCATTTATTTGTTGTGATAAAAATGTTTGTTGTTTTCGCTTTTTGTTTTGGTGCCATTTCTAAATTTGTTTATTCACCTTTGATTTTGCTTGGTAGCAGGGGTTTTTCGTTTGCTTGGTTTTAGTGGCTGTATACGGGATTTGGTCATTATAAATAATTAATCTACGGCGTTATGGGATGCTACTTGCATGAATGACGCTATATAAAATCAAAGTTTTATTGTACACATTGCTGGATAATTCCACATTCTCATTGTTGTGGCCAAAGTGTGTTTACAGGACTACCTCTGTGTGCTGATGTCAATCAAAGAGGTGTATCAAGCGTTGCAGTTTGGTTATGGGTAAAACCCAAGTTATTAATTTGGTGCAGTGCTACACACGCCCACACATGCACAAGTGTAAAGTGTCTGTTTGTGAAGTTGGATTGCATGTAGTTGTTTGTTGAATTCCGTTGCATTATAGCCCTTCCCTTTGCCAGTTGATGTTTTTCAGGCTGACTCAGCCTTCAATTTTGGCAGAGGCTGCCAGTTGGCTTCTTTGTAAATTCGTGATTCATTTTCCCCTTGTGTATGGGCTAATCTGGACCTGTAAATCTTGGAATATTCCAGTGTATTTGCGTGAATGCTGTTAACAACAACCTATTGTGGTGTACGTGAATTCGCCCACGTGATAATTCTATCCGCAAACACAAGCACTTTAATGGAAGATGCTCAAAACATAGAGGGACCAAGTTTATTTAAGCATACGGCAGCGGATTTGCTACTCCAAATATAGCCAGCATGTATTCATATTCCTAACATGTTTAGTTGTTATATGGAGGATGTACAAAACATAGTTCAAACTATCCCTTGGTGTATTACTGCGAGTGTTGTTTTATATTATGCTATCAACTTTGTCCTCGTGAAATTAATCTCTTTGGTAAATGCTAATTGAAGCATTACCAAACTTTTACTTTCAATCTTTCCACCTGTTTTGCCTTAACGGCGTTTCATCGCCTTTGGGGTGAAGTGGTTAAACCAATAGCTAGGTCTTTGTTTATACCACCTGCATAAACACGGGGCCCGGCTTACATGACGACAGATTCTGTATCCGCACCATGCCACGGTGACCGGGGAGCGCTCTCAGTCACTTCTCTGACCCAGCTTTGAGCAAGCCAGCTGCCCATGGCGTGGCGTTGCAAACACAGGGCGTCCCGAAGCAGTGCTGAAATGACCTAAACAAGGCATCGCTTCACTCGCTGTGCCTGCATACGCTAATCTTTAGCAGTCCACGAGTGAGAATTTGCAGGGGTCCTTCTTAGACACACCACTGAGACTTGGCAGATTGATGCAGTCATGCGTCTATGAAATCCCCAAAGCCTGGTGTGGCCTAAAGAGGTCAATGGAAAAGGACCATGATACCAGCGCATTTGCTGCTCGCAATAAATCAGTGAGCCACACCTGGCTTAGGGAATTAGGAAAACCCATTCCTGATAAGGCTTCTCGTACTTAATGGGGACGAGGAGTCGCGAGGGACATTCGAATATGCAGCTACACTAACTGCCTCTAACCAAATGTTATGGCAGCATTATTTAACTTGAAGGGTTCACCTTGGCTTACATATGGCTTGGGAAAACCGCTTCATATTGTTTGTCTCGAGAATTGCCATACTGTAATTAAAAAGTACGAAGCATTGTTACGTGATTTCAAAATATATTCGTAGCAATATATTGCACCAGCATTACACAGAATGTCTAATTACAGCCAATATATTTAGCCACC